ACCTTTTGTAGTGTAGTTTCTTTATACACTACATACATAATAATCCAACTTGTGGAGCTTTTAAGCTCTACTACAAATGCTCCCTCTTCCGCACCACCACCGTCCCTGTTGTTTACTTTGGTTTTGGCTTCGGACTCCGTTTGCTGCGTCAATGGAACTGATCGGTGAACAACTCCGCACCTACTCCACACCCCTCCTCCCACCCAATGCTGCGCCAGTGCAGCTCTGACCGGCTTGGCTCCGGGCAATGCTGACGGACATGAGGGTTTGACATAGGAGAGCAGAGCTAGGCAGCGGCTGTTCATGCGGACCAAAGTGTCATGCTAGGCCAATGCCGTTGATGCGTAAGCCCTATAGTCAGCCCCCCCTCAGACTCGAAAGCAACGTCTGGATGCATATACTGGAAAGACTCACTATAACAGCATATCTGATCTCCCCCACCCCCTACTGGTCTTTTCCCCAGCCATGGGTTTTACCAGTAGATGCACCATACTAACAATCGTTCTTGTTCTTTAGGACGATTTTTTATTATGTGGTCTTGGGTAGTAGCACTCAATAGGAGTTGCTCTAACTTTTCTCTCTTCCTTTTAGATAGATTAGATACCCTCCTTTTTTGGATTTATCATTTGTAAATATAATATGATTCAAAAAACAGCTTTAGCAATCCATGTAGCTGTGCCAAATAAAGGATCACCAAATCAAGAGCCATCTACTCAAGCATATTACTTAGTTTTCTACCATGAAATACATCCACTATTGGACAGGTTTATACGACATTATGGTGACATAAAACTAAGAAATATGCCATATGCTGACTTTGATGAAATTAAAGAAATTGGATCTGGAGGTTATGCAACTGTCTATACTGCCAGATATGAAAACTATTCAAAAGAGAATATACCACAAACTGTTGTACTCAAACGGTTTAAGAGTTGTGATGGAATGCCGGAATTATTTATTTCCGAGGTAAGCAATTTTGATAGTATTAATCAAACGGGTATTTAAGCTGACTCTGTATTTATTTATTTAATAGTTCAGAAATCATGCCAAGTGCATAAACAGACGGGCATTCCTTAAAATTTATGGAGTCACACAAGACTCAGAAACAAAAGAGTATATGATTGTTATGCAATATGCTAACAATGGTAATCTTTTGTCTTTTTTAGATCCAAATATTAACAAATTGACATGGATGATGAAATTACAGTGTTTGAGTAATATTGTATGGTATCTGGGAAATATTCATGATGTGGGTTTAGTGCATTGTGATCTTCATAGCAGAAACATTGTTCTGGATAGTAATAAAAAGAATGATGTGGTAGAAGAACAGGTCGTATTAGGCCGTTCCTACATATGCGATCTTGGTCTCTCACGACTAGTGAATTCACGCGAGTCAAATTCAACAATTCAAGGCGTTTTGCCCTTTATTGCACCGGAAGTTTTTCATACTTGCAAATTTACTCAGAAATCAGACATATATGCATTTGGTATTATTATGTATTTGATTGCCTCTGGTGAACCACCTTTT